ATTTGCTTTTCTAATTAATTTTGCTGTGAGAGCTGCTCAGCATGCTGGGATGTTGCAGGAGGGAGAAAATGGCTAGGGGGAAAGGTAATACTGCAGGAGCAATTGTGAAGATGAATACAGAATAACGCTCTACTAGGAAACCGCAGGCTTGGTGCTACCTTGCCGTGGATGCGAAGGGTGTGGCTGGTGCCCATTTCCAGCCTGGCTGTATTTCCACAGGGTGTCTTGTGCCTGAGGCTGAGTCTTAAGAAAGGGGAATCATGGGCTCAATATGATAGTGTAGCGGTTAAAGTCCTCCCCTTGCACATGCCAGGATCCCATATGGGCACCTGGCGGTTCTAATCCTGGCGGCCCAGCTTCCCATCCAGCTCCCTGCCTGTGGCCTGGGAAAGCAGTTGAGGACAGCCCATGGCCTTGGGACCCTGCACCCTCATGGAAGACCCAGAAGAGCTCCTGGCTCCTGGCTTCAGATTGGCGCAATGCTGGCCATTGCGCTCACTTGGGGAGTGAACCATTGGACAGAAGATCTTCCTCTCTGTCTCTCCTCCTCTCTGTATATCTGCCTTTCCAATAATAAAAAAAAAGCCTTAAAAAAAAAAGAAAGGAGAATCACGCATGGCCTCCTTTTGTGGGGTTCTTAGAGCTGTCTCAGAACTTGAGGTGGAGCCCAGTAGCAGGACTAAGAAGTGACCAGACAGAGCCAGATGTCACGAAAGGATGGCAGTTTTCTAGCAAGCCACTCCAGCAGGTACACGTGTTATAGCAGAAACTTCCCTAACACAGGAGGCCCTGACTTTCCCTTGGCCGGGCACTCACTGTGAGGGTGGGACTGGTTTCTCTTTTACAGGACTATCTCGAGGCTGCTCTTGTGGTACAGCTCGTTAGGGCTCCTGTGACGCTGGCATCTTGTCACAGAATGCTGGTTGGATTCCAGTCCATCTTCCTGCTAATGCACACCCTGGGAGGCAGCAGGTGGCCCAGTGCTTGGGCTCCTGCTCACAGGAGACTAAAATGGAGTTCCAAGCTCCTGGCTTCAGCCTGGCCCAGTTCTGGCTGTTGCAGCCTTTTGGGGGATGAACCAATGGATGGAATACCTTTCTCTGTTCTGCCTCTGCCTCTCTCTGTGTTGTTCTCCTTTCAAATTGATTGATCAGTCAATCTCTGCTCTGGAAGGTGCAATCCTTCAGACTGGAGGGATATCAGGTTATGTACTGTTGTTTTCAAAAGTTCCCCCTTTTCTTAAAGCGATCAACTCAAAGCTGGAGGTGATTTTCTTGGAGACAATCTGCTACTTATTACTCTCCCAAGTACATGGGTAAAGTGGAAGACTTGGATGCTTGCTGATTTAAAAAGTTATGTTTTATTAAAATCCCCCAGAGCATGATGAGTTCAGCCATAGTTGTGGAGAAGGCAGGATTCCTGTGATGCTGAGTGGCACTGAGTGTACACAGTGAAGCCCAGGACCCAGCATACAGCAGTGGGAAGGACTAAGTGGAAAAGAGCCCTAAACACAGCTCCTCCGGCCTTGAGGCTTCAACAGTAAAGTCAGCCCTGACTCAGTCCCAGCACCGTGCCAGGCACGGGGAGGGTGCTGGGAGGAGCTGCAGGGCATGTACGAGTATGAGTATGCTTGGATGTGTATGAACATTGTGCAGGGTGAACTTGTGTGTGGGTGTGAATACACAGGTGATTGAGGTATGTGCATGTGGCATGGTCTGAGTGTGTAGGGGAGACACAGCTGCCCTGCTGTCCACCCATAAGGATCCTGTGGACTCGCAGGGGAGGAACCCAGACCTGTGCACAATGCCACCTTCATTTCATCTGCAAAGACCTTGGTGTTCTTCCTCCCATCTTGCCCTTCCTTTCTGGTCAGAATTGCTTGGAATTGATCATGACATCTCTCTGCATCCCCATTGTTGAGGATGAAAGCTGCCCTTCCCAAGGCAGCATTTCCACTCTAGCTCAGCCCAGGGCCAATCTGCATGGCCATGGAGTACCAGCAACCTCTAGGCTGGCCTGCGGCCAGATGCAGCTGCTTGGTCTCTGCACCGGCAGGTCCTTGTTTCTGTACTTGCTGGTCTTTGTCTCTGCACCTGCTGGTATTCGTCTGATTGTCTCTGCACCTGCTGGTCCTTGTCTTTGTACTTGCTTGTCTTCTCCCCAGACCCCACAGGGCACAGCACACATGTTGGTGGCTTCTGATGCGAGGCCATGGAGACCCCCTTCTTGGTTCTCTCCTACCTTCTCTCTCCCACCCTCTCTCTCCCATGGATCAGAGCTGTCTGGCTGTGAAGATGCTCAGGCAGAGGCCTGGTGGTGGCCTTGACCCTGTCCACCTCTTGTAGGAAGGACCTATCCTCAGCCTCTCAGAGCTTGAAGTTAGCCATTTGACTAACTAGGGCTGCTAAGGTGGGCCCTGTGCCAGTTTGACTGCCCTACCCATAAGAAGCAGAGTCCTGCTTGGTCATGCATGAATTGAAGGGATCACAGAAGACACAGAAGGCACAGGGAGAAGGCCCCGTGACGAGCCTGGAGACACCTGCTAGGAAGCAGCACTGCTGCCCTCCGGACGAGGAGCATGTATCCTTGCAGCTGCTCGCTGGGGACATTGGTCCTTGGAGTCAGACTGCAGTCACAGTGCCGATGGTACAAGTGCCTCTGCTGGCACTGCCCACACGTGTGAGCCCTGAAGCAGGTTTCCCAGCCTGGGGGCGGGGGGTGCCTTGACCTGATGGGTGTCCTGGCTGACACCTTTTTTGTTGATTGGGGCACACCTGTGCTCAGGCATCAGCTCAGCTCCTCTGCAGCCTTGGGAAACACAGCTGCTGGGCAGAGTAAGTTTTGAGTTCGGGGGGTGGGCAGGAAGGAGGACTGTACTATAAGGAGTATACTTCCTGGTCCGCGGGCAGAGATGTGTGTTTCACTGAGGAAATCCAGGTGCTCTGGAGGGGAAATTGATGCTATAGTAATGAGCATTTGCATATTTTGGAATAGTTTTTCATTAGGTGGTTTTGTAATATTCTTTTAGTTACTTTCTCTTTTTAAAAAGATATATTTTAATTTCAGAGGCAGGTTTATAGAGAGAGGAGAGAGAAAGAGGTGGGGAGAGAGAGTATTCCAGATGCTGGTTCACTCCTCACATGTCTGCAGTAGTCAAAGTTGAACTGATCTGAAGCCAGGAGCCAGGAACTTCTTCCAGGTTTCCCATGCGGGTGCAGGGGCCCAAGGCCTTGAGCCATCCTCCGCTGCTTTCCCAGGCCACAGCAGGGAGCTGAGAACTGGCGCCCGCATGGGATGCCAGTGCTGCAGATGTAGGATTGCCCTGTTAAGCCATTGCACAGGCTCCATTTTCACTTGCTTTTTACAAGAAACTTCTAACGAAAAATGTAACTTATACAAAAAAATAGCATTTGAAAACATGTATTTATATTGATTATCTGGATATAGATAATAATAAGCAAAAATATGAACATAAGTATATAAAATACAAAGAGGTAAAATACAAAAATGGGATGTGCTTTAGCCAATTTCTTGGCCATCTCTGTTTCTGATGTGGCATCAACAGTCTTACATTTCCTCCCAAGTATTGTCTCATCAAAATTGTTAATTTTTTCCTATAGCTTCTTATAACCTTTTTCAAAGAAGCATTTTGTGGTGAATAAACTTGAACCTATTGACCCCTTCCCTGTATTCTTTGTTGTAGACCACATTTGTAATTGGGAAAATATTTTCTTGACAGCTGTTGAGCCACTTAGTCACATGAAGTGTGTTCCCAATGAAAGTGTTCTGGCATCTCAAATGTGGAACTCTTTTAGCCTAACTATTTTACCAGGTACTGTCCTTTTACTTTCTTTCCTCAGTAAATATTTTTACAAGACAAAGGGGATTGCATGTGTCACTTTCATTTGTCACTCCTTAAATGTTTCATTAATGTGGTGCTACAGAATGGCCTGTCTCAGTCTTATGCCTTTCTGGGACAGAATGTATTTATCGTGACAAACAGGAGTTCCACCAAGAGGATTTTTTCACAAGTCAGGATATTGTGAAATATCATCTTAGAAGCTCTTTGGTAAAAACGTATGTATTTTCATTTTATTTGAATGGCGGAGAGATGTAGAGATGTTTGACCTATGGGCTCAGTCTTCATACACCTGCAATAGTCAGAACTGGTTGGACCACAGCCAGGAGACTAAGGCTGCGTGTCACACGCAGCTACCAGGAGTCCTGGTCCTGTGCGTGAACAGGGTGCTGGATTGGAAGTAGAGAACAGTACTCAGACCCTCTGGTGTGGGGTGGGGCTGGCCACCTCAGCTGCTGTGCCAAATGCCCACCCTTCCCTGGCAGAGAATTTCAGTAGCGACAGCTCACTGTCCAGTGTGCTGACTTGGTGCTTTAGTTTTTAGGGATAAATTCCAATGTCTTTTTGTTTGCAAGTTTTGTTCTCAATTAATGCAATTCTTTTAAAGTTTGAAAAACAAATTCCATGTGGTGAATAATTTGATCAAGGAGCTCCACATTTTTTGACAACAAGCATGGAAAATTTAAAAGAGTTTTTTAGAAAAAAAAAATCTAATACCACTGTAGGATACTTTAACTTCAAAAGCTTGGGGTTCTAACAATTTAGTGTTAAAGCATGTTTTTTAAAATTTCCTCCAACTTTATTTTCTTTGTTATAATTTTTGGTAACACGTATGTAGTCATGTACCATAGGACAGTATTTTGGTTAGCCCTGACCTGCAGTGGCCCCTAAGATGGAACGGAGTTGACAAATTTGTACCCTTAGAGATGGCCAGATCTCAAGCTTCTAGAATTTTTTTGATGGAACATATATATGAATATTTCAAAAAGTTTTTAAAAAGCAGAGACAGTGTAGCTTCCTTTTTTTTTCAAGCGGGAGAGGTCAGCTTCTTCATTTGCATTTTTGTGGTATGGCATGTGGTTTGATTGCTTGTGACACTGTCCTGTCTACCTGCTGACCCACCCGAGTGGCTCCCGGCAAGATGAAGCTCCCCTTGGTGGCTACGGTGCTGCTGCTGAGTGTAGCCTGCCCGAGGGGGAGGACAAGTAGGAGGACATGGGCACAGTGGTGGTCATCGACCTGGGGACCACCCACTCCTGCACTGGGGTGTTCAAGAATGGCTGTGTATAGATCATTGCCAACGACCAGGGCAACCGCATCACCCACCCTCGTATGTTGCCTTCACCCCCAAAGGGGAGCGGCTCATCAGGATACCACCAAGAACCAGCTTATGTCCAACCCTGAGAACACGGGTTCGATGCCAAGTGGCTTACCGGTCTCACAAGGAACGGCCTGTTGGTGCAGCAGGACATCAAGTTCTTGCTTTTCAAGGTGGTTGAAAAGAAAGCAAAGTCATACATTCAAGTGGATATTGGGAGTGGGCAAACAAAAGCATTTGCTGAAGAAATTTCTGCCATGTTTCTCACTAAAATGAAAGAAAGTGCTGAGGCTTACCTGGGAAAAAAGTTTACCCATGCAGTGGTCACAGTTCCCGCTTACTTCAATAATGCCCAGCGTCAGGTAACCAAGATGCTGGGACCATTACTGTACTGAATGTCATGTAGATCACCCATGAGCCTACCGCAGTGACTGTTGCTTATGGTCTAGATAAGGGCGAGGGAGAGAACATCCTGGTGTCCAACCTGGGCGGGGCCCCTTTGCTACGTCTCTCTTCACCATTAACAACGGGGTCTTCAAAGTCATGGCCACTAATGGAGACACTCGCCTGGGTGGAGAAGACTTTGACCAGCGTTTCATGGAGCATTTCATCAAGCTGTACAAAAAGAAAACTGGCAAAGATGTCAGGAAAGACAACAGGGCCGTGCAGAAACTCCAGTGGGAGGTGGAGAAGGTCAAATGGGCCCTGTCTTCACAACATCAAATGAGAATTGAAATTGAGTCCTTTTATGAGGGAGAGGACTTCTCAGAGACCCTCACGTGGGCCAGATTTGGAGGGCTGAACATGGGTGGACCTGTTCCAATTTATCATGAAACTTATCCAGAAAATGTTGGAGGACTCTGATTTGAAGAAATCTGACATTGATGAAATTGTGCTTGTTGGTGGTTGTACTCAAATTCCAAAGATCCAGCAGTTGGTTAGAATTCTTCAATGGCAAGGAGTCATGGTGCAGCATCAGCTTCACCGAGGCCATGGTGTACGGTGCTGCTGTGCAGGCTGGGATGCTCTCTGGTGATCAAGACACAGGGCATCTGGTGCTGCTTGACGTGTGTCCTCTTACCCTTGGCACTGAGAATATGGGAGATGTGATGACCAAACTGATTCCAAGGAATACTGTAGTGTCCACCAAGAAGTCTCAGATCTTTTCTACGGCTTCCGACAATCAGCCAACTGTCACAATCAAGGTCTATGAAGGTGAATGACTGCTGGCCAAAGACAATCACCTCCTGGGCACGTTTGATCTGACTGGAATTCCTCCTGCTCCCCGTGGGGTGCCACGGATTGAAGTTACCTTTGAGATAGACGTGAACAGTGTTCCACGTGTGACAGCTGAAGACGAAAGTAGAGGGAACAATTACCAATGACCAGAATGGCCTGACCCCCGAGGAGATCGGAAGGATGGTCAATGATGCCGAGAAGTTTGCTGAGGGAGACAAAAAGCTCAAGGAGTGCATTGACACCAGAAACGAGCTGGAAAGCTACGCCTACTCGCTGAAGAACCAGATCGGAGACAAAGAAAAGCTGGGTGGCAAACTTTCCCCTGAAGAAAAGGAGACCCTGGAAAAGCCGTGGAGAGAAGACTGAACGGCTGGAAAGCCACCAAGATGCTGACATTGAAGGCTTCCAAGCTGAAAAGAAGGAACTAGAAGAAATTGTTCAGCCAATTATCAGCAAACTCTATGGAAGCGCAGGCCCTCCTCCAACTGGTGACGAGGATACAGCAGAAAAGGATGAATTGTAGATGCTGATCTGCTAACGCTGTGCATTGTAAATACTGGACTCAGGAACTTTTGTTAGGAGAAAATTGAGAGAACTTAAGTCTCAAATGTAATTGGAATCCACTTCAGAGTAGAGTTGAAAATGCTATTGCCCAGGTGGCTGTGTACTGCTTTTCATTAGCAGTTGCTCACATGTCATGGGGAGGGGGACAAAAGGAATGGCTATTTTAACATTTTGGTTAGGGGGCATGTTCACCTTGACATGTTTTATGTAACAACTGGCTCACGTGCATCTGATGTAGGAACTTTTTTTCTACCATAAGTGACACCAATAAATGTTTGTTATTTACACTGGTCTAAAAAAACTAATGACAAAGATGCACTATGAAAAAACTGCATTTATTTCCAAAACTTTTGCATCAAAATAAACTCAACATTTCCCTTTATTTTTCATGAATTTTTTTTGGTAACTTCAAATATCCCATATGGTATAGGTGTGTGTGGAGTAGGTTGTGCCATCTTGGTTTGTGTAAATATGTTCTAATGTGGTTTGAACAATGACAGAATTGCCCCTTGATGCAGTTCTCAGAATATATTCTCGCTGTGAAGTGATGCGTGACTGTGTATGTGAGTTTTCATAATTGCTAAATATTGACAGTTATAAGTCTAACTTAAATTGGTAGAATACTGCAGTTTATTTGGATCTAATTATGAATTATATGGGAGCTGTCATCAATTTCAAGTACATTTCTGCTTCTTAATTTGGTAGTTTAATTTTCTTATTTTAGTAAGAATATTGCTTTTTACCATGACACTATGGTCTATGAAAAACTGTATTTATATTATCATTACCAAAGCAAGTACTATTGAGCTTTAATATCAACCTTAAAATAAAATTTGTGGTGGCATTTATAATAATACAGTGTATTTTCAGTAGTCTTTCTAATAGTGAATATTTTATGCTAAGTATATGGCTTTATTTTTTCTTGCTGAAGTTTTCCATTGTGTTACTTTTTTCTTTTTAACCGAAGATCAATATATGCTCCTATTATATCTTTAAGACTATTCCATTGTTCAAATCATGCTTTTTGTTAATGAAAATATTTTCACCTTGAACATTTTTTCTCTCCAAGATCTCCGACCTTCTATTGGGATTTGGACTGAGTTTTTCCTAGTTGGGAGGGCTAGGTGTAGCTCTGATTTTGCCTTGAATTCCTGGTATAATTCTATTCTTTTTAAGAATTCTCATTTCTGGGTCCAGTATTGTGATGTGGAGGGTAAAGCTGCCGCCTGTGGCGTTGGCATGCCCTGTGGGCACTAGTTTGGATCTCTGTTGCTCCACTCCCAATCCAGGTCCCTGCTAGTATGCCTGGAGAGCCACCGAAGATGGCCCAGGCACTTGGTTCCTCAGTCATAGGAAACCTGAAAATACTTCAGCTGTTGTACTTATTTCACAGTTTTTGAACAACAAGATTGTAGATGAATAGGGTCTCCTCGCTTAAGGACGACTTCCCAGGCCTCCTGTGTTCCCATATTCAGGCTGCCAGTGTTGTGATTGTGTTGGGGTGCACCTGTTTCTCATTCTGTGCAGGTAGAATCTTTGTGGTTCTGAAATCAGTCATGCATCAGACAGACCCAAACAGGATCGTTACAGAGAAGCCAGAGTGGAAGAACAGACAATACTTGTGGATGGGAGAGGGCAGAGTCACAGAGGGGTGTGTGTGTCTGTGTGTAAGTGCATGTGGCAGGAGCCCAGGGCAGGGCAGAGCAGAGCATGCCTCCCAGGGGACATGTGAGGCTTGGTCCTGGAGGCCCTTCTTGTTCCAAGGCAGACAATAGAGCCTGCAGACTGACATCACAGCCTGAGAGGATGGGGACAGTCCCCCCTCTAGAGAGAGGCTGGAGGGAGGGACAGAGTGTGAGAGAAGAATCATGTTTGCATCCTGAGTTGCTGTGTGGATTTAGGGGTCAGCTTGTAGGCTTGCGAGTGACCTCACATAAGCAGCCACTCGTTGCTTCTGTTGTGTGTACAGCTGAGACAGTACTGATTTTGTCATTTAACTGTTTTCAGGGGAGTCATGACACCTGTATGTCACCGTGTGTGTGGGAACTTGAGGTAGGCTAGCTGCCATGCCCTCATGCCCATGGCTAGCTCTCCACGTCCGAGGATGCTGCCAAGCACTGGGGCCCTCAGCATTCAGGAGGTCCACTTGGCTGGGCCATGGGTGGGCAGCTGGCTTGCTGAGTATCCATGTTCTTGTGTTCTCATTCCTGTGTTGGGCTGGACAGAGCAACCTGCATATCCCTGGCTCATTATGTGCTACCAAAGCCCCTCCCTATCCCTAGCTTCTTGGCCAAGAAGACAGGAGAGCAGGACCTTATTTTCCAAAGTGGACACTTCCCAACATGTTAGCAGAGGTGGCGTGGGCCTTGCAAGGCCATCTCACCTCTCTGTGGAGCCCTGGGTGGAGGAGACAGGCTTGCCCGTGTGCTGAGAAGGATAGCTGGCTAGTGGTCCCAACACGTGCACCAAGCCCCCTGTGCCGGGGGAGCTCTGAGTAGGGAGCCGGGCGGTGGCTTGCCCAGCTCAGCAGCGTGGCTGCAGACAGTGCTCATCTGTCCCCAGCCGATGGCTGCTGGCAGAGCGTGGCGTCCTGTGCTGAGCTTGTTGCTTCCTAAGCACAGTTCAGACTCAGCAAGCAGAATAGATTTTGTATCCTCTGAGCTCATCTGGAATCACAGTCAGCTTGCCAGGGTGCAACTCCCTGCTGGCTCCTCAGGCTCAGGGGAGCGTGACAGCTTCACCGCCTGGGAGCTGGGTCTTGTGGAGCGTGTCGACCCTGGTCTGCACCTGGTGAGGGAGACATGTGAGAGGTGGGGCTGAACATTTTCCCAGGAGAGATCCCCTTCTGGTTTAACGCTCTCTGGCCACCATCCTAACATGTTAAACGTTTGTTCTTGAACTTGGATTTGGGAAGTCAGATGCAGGTGCATATAGGGCCCTCGTGCGCTGCACACGCCTGTCACTTCTCACTGCCTCATCCATGTTTTGTCTTCTAAGTGCCTTGGGAACATGCAGTTCCCTCAGCACAGAGTGGGAGTTCAGTGATGCTCAGGGTATGTGTGAGGACCTGTTAGTTCACCATGGACGGAGTCAGCAGGGACACTGGTGGCCCCGCGAGGCCGCACTTCCCATTCACACAGAACTTGCTTTTTATCTATCTATTTATTTATTTTTAGAACTTGCTTGGAGTGCAGAAAGAAGGCAGTGACACTCAAAGAAGTACAAGTGACCGGGGCCGCCTATCCTGCTCTTGTTGGTGCTACTTCCCCATGTCAGCCAATCTCTGACCAACATGACCTGGAAGGAAGGGTAGGTGAGTGACACCAATTCTGTGACCTTCTGTCCTTATTGCTAGGGCGAGGGCACAGCATTGCTGAATGTGAGTGAATAAGGAGTGGACCCAAACCAGAAAACTGCTGAGTGATTTTGTGTAATGTTTTGACTGTTCATGTAAAGATAAAAATACATGTGCATCTTTAAAGAATGAGTTATGTGAGTGTTTAAAAAGGATTTACTTGAAAGGTAGAATGGCAAAAGAAAGTGGGGGAAAGAAAGACAGAAGGAGAGAGAGAGAGACCTTCCATGTACTGGTTCATTATCTCCCCACAGTGGCAGCAATGGCTGAGGCCAGGCCAGGTCATAGCCAGGAGGCAGGGACTCTGGGTCTTCCATGGGCGGCAGAGACCCAAGTGCCTGGGCCTCCATCTGCTGCCTTCAAGGCCTAGTAGCTGCGAGCTGGATCAGAAGCGGGGTAGCTATGACTTGAACAGGTGCCCTGATGTGGAATGTGGGTGTTGTAATAAGAGGTCTACTGTGTTGTCACAAGGCCTGCCCGAACTGTGTGACTTTGATGATTCCCTAGATGAGTTCTCCATTTACATTAATAACTGGTACCGCATGTAGGATGGTAGATGGGAGATTCATGCTAGTCATGAAACCTTTTCTTTCCTTTTTAAAAAATATTTATTTTTATTGGAAAGACATATCAGATTTATAGAGGAGATAGAGAAAGATCTTCCCTCTGCTGATTCACTCCCCAAATGATTGAAACGGTTGGAACTGAGCTGACCTGAAGCCAGGAGCTTCTTCTGGGTCTCCCATGTGGATATGGGGTCCAAGGACATGGTCTGTCCTCTGCTGCCCTCCCAGGCCACAGCCAGGGAGCTGGTAGCCTGGCTCTTTGACATCTCGCTTGATTATGGCTCTTGGGGTCCAATCCAGGCAGCTGGCAATTTCTTGCAGAGATGCAGACAGTCAAGTGGGATGGCCATGGCAAGGCCACGTGCTGGGATCTGACCCCAGGCCCATCCAGCTCCTGGAAGAAGAGCTGTCCTACAGGTGGGAGGAGGCAGTGGGAATTCTTGCTTTTGACTGTTTCAGAAGGGTGCCTTAGCCGCTGCCCTGGTGGTCAGTCCTGGTTCCTGAGGCCCCTGCGGATCTTGGGCAGGCAGGGGGAGCTCAACGTGTGGGAAGCCCTCCTTATAGCTTCCTCCTAATGAACTCACGGTCCAGCCTGGCTGTGGCTCTCAGCCAGGCCGAGTTCAGGCAGGGCACGGTCCTGAGTGGTCTTGGTTTATTCCCCTGGACACAAAGGAGCTTCTAGACCCTGTCCTGGGCAACACTCACCAAGCCTTTCCCACCAAGTCTGGGCCAGGAGGCCAGCTTCCAGGTTAACCCAGGTCAGAAATTATAAAACAGCTTTGACAGCTGACACACCAGCCAACTCCATCTGGTCTGGGTCAGTGGGGATAGCCTCCCAGAGGCCACCTGGACTCCTTAGAGGACTGGGTGGGGCTAGAGAGAGTCCTGGGTGGGGATGCAAATGCCCACAGGCATGATCTTCTGTGGCCAGGCGTGCCCTTTGCTGGGATGGCAGACTGGGGTGGAGTTTGCTCAGCTCCCCAGAGGCTTCTAGAGCCAGGGGATGACCCAAAGCTTTTTGTTCAGGTTATAAAAGACACACACTAAGAGAAAATTTGGAAAACACAGACAAACACAACATTTTTTTGTCAAGACTTCATTTATTTG